GCCGCTGCCTCCAAACGCCCAGCCTGCCGGCAACAGAGGCCAGCACTGAGCCCTGGGAGGGCTGCGCTCCCGGAGGAGCCCCCATCAACCACGCTGGGCCTCTTCCGTCCTGCGTACGGTTTCTGGGTACGGGTTTGCCTTTGCAGCCGCAGGGCCTCAGCCAGCACCCCTTGGGGGGTGGAGTGTCTGGGCCCCCAGCATGGGCCCCCACGACATTGCATCATGCGGGGGGCCAAGTTCACCAAGGAGGCAGGGAGCGAGCTGGTGATCCTGGACTCGCGGGGCATAGCGCACCTGTGCCACCCAGACCTGCGAGTTGCCGCCCACCTCACTGCGGCACAGAGGCAGGGTAGAAGCTGAAGCGTCAGCTGGGGGCGCCGCCTTGCGAACAGAGGGTGCCCTGTTCCCGGCAGTGCAAGCCTGAGCCTTGGACCTCCACATGCAGCCGTGTCCCTGGCAGGAAGGATCCGTGGCCTGGAACCCAGGGGTGGCAGCAGGTCCCACTGCCATCTCTCCAAAGGCCCATGGGGTCCCGGTGCTTCTCACTCACAACTCTGGGCTCTGCAGCAATGGCAGGGGCCGTGGTCCAGCCCCACAACCTCTTCCTCAGTTTCCCACAGGGAGGAGGCCCACGGAAGTCCCCGAGAGCTGCTCTCTGATGTGGATCCCAGTGAGCGAGGGGTGGCCTGGAGACCCCTGGAGGCAGCAGTAGGGCCCTGCTGCAGGAGCGCATGCACCCAAACTCCGCCTCCGCACCTGCTTCCAGAGAACCCACCGGAGTCGGGCAGTGGGGACCGAAGACAAACTAGTGACTCTGAGGTTGGGGAGTGTCAGCTCCAAACCTGCAGGGCTTCCTTTCGGGCTGGTCAAACCCCCCAGGAGATGCCTCCACTCTCCTGCCTAGGGAACGGGGTGCTCATGGAGGGCAGAAGCTCCTAAAGGGAGAAACCAGCTGCGTTTCTGTTTGCCGTGGAGGCCTACGTAGGATTTACCAGGGCGGCAGGTTCCTGTTCCTAGTTCTGTTCGGTTTGGGCTAATGTTAAAACACTCCCCTCCTGCTACACAGCCGAGGCCTTGGGGTGCCTGTGGCCACCCTCAGAACTGGAGCTGAATAGACTGTCCCGTGTGTGCGTGTGCGTGTGCGTGCGTGTTTGCACGCTCGCACACACGCATGTCCCCAGCACTCACGGCATCGCTGGTCTGCCAGGTCTGGTGGGGCACAGGGTGGGGGGAGGTCCACGTGCACTCACTGCCCAGGTGCCCTGCCTGCTCCCACCTGGGGGCATAACCCGGGTGACAAAGCCTGCAGCTGCCAGCAGTGCCCTGGGAATGCAGCGTGGCCAGGTGTCTCACGTTGACGTGGGTGGCAGGCAGCCTCACGTGGCCTTGAGCAATTTCCCGGCTGCGAGTCATCTCCCAGCCAGGCGCTCAGGCCTTCCGGGGTGGGACATGGAGATGAGCTTGTGGGCCCCACCCTCCAGGGTCGGCAGCGGGTGATGGGACTCAGGGCCACAGGGAGGGACGTGGGCCCACGACCATGAGGAAGAATAAGCCCTTTCTCAGGGCAACAAGATTATTTTGGCAACGGTGATAAAACCGAGTGTTCTTTTCATTCGAGATTATTGAGAAACAGTGATCAGTCACACTGAGTGTTCTTTGTGTGTGTGTGTGTGTGTGTGTGTGTGTGAGTGTGTGTGTGTGTGTGTCTCCCTCCCTCCCTGTCCCCATCCCCCCTCCCCGGTTTGGAATCCACGCAGAGCTTGGCCAGGAGCCATCAGGTCCCCGGGTTGGGCTCAGTCCCCCTGCTAAGGGTCCCTGGGGGCACCTGGGGGCTGCCAGCCCCAGCTGGGCCCTGCAGGAGCAGCTTGCTGGGGACGGGGCCCAGGGAACAGGGAGTGGAGGAAGCCAGGGTCTGGGAGGCCGTGGGCTGCCATGCCAACCACAGTGACATTCCAATCTAGCCCCAGCCCTGGCAAACCTTGGCAGGACCTTGAGGCTGCATGTCCTATGGAGGCCTGTGGGCCCCTGCTCTGTCCCCGGGCTGCCTTTCCTGCCTGGCCCTCACCCAGGGGACCGCACTAGCCTGTATGTTCACCTGCCTCCAGAACCCAGGCCCCCTCGGCCAGGGTTCAGCCAAGGACCCTGCAACCGTCCCATGCCGGGAGGCTTGTCCAGGATGATAGGTCAGGAAGGGATAAGGTTCAGAGTCAGGAAGCCAAAGCTTAGCCTCAGCTCCCCACCCACTGCCAGGCCAGGTGAGCTTGGGCAAGTCACTGCTGCCTCCTCGTCTGTGAATCAGGAGGGCGTGTGGATGGTGCGGTGCACGCCAGGGAGGGCCCAGCAACCACAGGCAGGCTGGGGCCACAGGTGGAGGTGGCACCAGTGACGACCGCCAGTGAGCAGGGCCCTGGGTATGCTGGAGCGACTCTAGCCCTGGGCACTGCGAGTCCAGTGGCTGGGCCAGCTCCCGCATGGGCACATGGAAGGTGGTGCCTCCCGGCCCAAGGCAGCACCCACCCTGCCGAAGGCCTGTCCACACTCCCTCCCTGCTTCCTGTGCAGTTGGTTGGGGCAGAAGGAAGCATCTTGAATGGGAAATGCTCTTCCTCCTGCTAATGTCCCTTTGGGAATCAGGCTGGCTAGGGATGGAAGGGGTGTGCCCCGCCCCTAGGGTAGCACCCTGCCCTGGCCGGGACACGGGGGAATGAACAAGGTGTGTGTAATGCAGTGACCAGGCAAGCACGGGCAGCTAGTGCCCGAGAGCACAGGCAGAGGGTGAGCAGAGCGGATGGGAGGGGAGGGTGCCCAGTGCCAGGGGAAGGTGGTGACGGAGAGTTGGAGCCCAGGACACCCCTTCTCCATACAGGCAAAGCGTGTCGGCCTTGTCACCTGGCACCTGCCCTTGTCACATTCCATCTCGTGGGGCCCTTCATGGATTCTCTCAACAGGAGAGAGTCGGGTCCCTGGACAGGAGGTGCTCTGCGCGATGGGGCGGCCTCCATGCCCAGCTCAGCTGGTTTGGGAATCTCTGCAGCTCTGGGGTAAGGCGGGACCCTCCCGTCCTGTCCCCCTGCCGCAAGGAAGAAGATGCTCTCCCGGTAGCGGCTGTCGAGAGGCCACGCAGCCCTCCCTCACTCCGTTCACATAACGTCACTATGGGGCCTTCCCGTCACCAGGCCACTGGCCGCCGACGCAGGGTTGCCGCTGCAAGCCCTGCGTGGGCCTCCTGAAGCCCATGGCAGCCCCTGCCCTAGACGGTGCCAGTTCAGGGGTGCGCAAAGGAGGCAGCCGGAAGCCCAGAGCTGGAATCGCAGCCTGCTCTCTGCCCAGGCTGTGGCAAATGAGGGTGGTGCCCCAGCCAGCCCCCCACCAACCCCGCCGGGGCCAGCAGCCGGGGCCAGCAGCCTGGGCCGAGGCTGGGAGCAAGGCCCTGCCCGGCTCCTGTGGTCACCGTGGGGAGGGGGGGTGGGGCGCGTGCTGCGCCAGGGCACAGATGGTTGTCATTCCCTGCCGCCTCTCTTCCAGAGGAAAACAAACCAGCTCAGGGCCAACAGACCCTTTTTTATCTCGGGGTTATTTTCATTTCCATTTTCCTTTGCCTGAAGCCGCTGTCCTGTGGGCTGCATTTTGCGAGGGTCTGGCTGGGGTGGCCGTGGCACGTTCTTCACCTTAGAGGGGCTCTCCCAGGGAAGGGCTGGGGTGCAGAGAGGAGCTCCTAAGGAATGTCACCCACTTCCTGCTTCTGGACTCATCCCTGTCCTACCCTGGGTCACAGCCACCTTTCAAGGGTTTGCAGTCTCCCTACTGGAGCAGGAGGGGTGGGATTGGATGGGCCCAGGGGAGCAGGGCAGCACCAGACAGTGAGGGCCACCGTGTGTCCCGCACGTGCCCCTGGCCGGCTGGGGAGGAGGCCGTCAAGACCTCCAGGGCTGAGGGTAGGTGAAGCTACCTCGCACCGTCCAGGCCCAGGGACTCCCAGGAACTTGAGGAGGACTAGGAGGGCAGAGTGTTGGGCGCCCTGGCAGGGCCCAGCCTGGCTGCTCTGCCTGGATCCCCTCCAATCTGCACAGCCATCCTGGGGGAGGCGGCTGGCTGCGCCCCATTCCTCAGAGGCTGGGAGGGTGCTGTGGTTACCCAGGGTCTCAGAGATAGCATTGCAGGGAGGTGGAGGCTTGCCCACCGTCCCACAGCTGATCAGAACCCAGGTTTGTCATCGGTGCCCCAGGTTTGGCCAAAGCAGGCAGCTGGGCATCCCTGGCCTGGCCCATACCCACTGGCAGAGGTGCAAGTCAGCGAGGCAGTGCCGGGACACGACGGGAGGAGGGGACAGACAGGACCACCAAGGGGGAGGGGCGCCTGCCCAGCAAAGCCTAGGGGGCCTCCAAGGCCAGGGCGGTGGGCGGAGCCCAGCAGGCTCAAGGTGGGGGTGTGGAAGAAAGGAGCCCCACCCCTGCAGTCCCCGGGGTGGGCTGGGGGCCTCCGCAACACCCCTCCCCGGCGTGGGTCCCGCCCGCCGGTCCGGGCCCCCTCCCCGCGGCGGTGACATCACGGCCACGGCAGCGGGAGGGGCGGCGGCGCCCCGCGCACATCACTTCCTCGGCGCCTCCCGCGGGGGAGGACGGCGGCGGCGGCCGGAGGGACGACGGAGGGGCGGGCGCAGCGCGGACGCAGGCCGGACGGCGGGCACAGGCGCGGCGCGGGGCTCCGGTCTCGCGCGTCCCCGGCCCATGGCGGGCCCGGCCCCACCCGCGGACGAGCTCCCGGGCCCGGCTGCCCGGCGCCTGCACTCCAGGTAGGGGCGCGAGCGCGGCGAGCGGAACAAAGGCGGCCCAGCGTGGCCGGACGCCCTCCCTGCGGCGGGAGCGCGCGGCCCCTCGCCCCTCGCCCAGAGCCAGCGCGGGTGGCCCGGGCCGGGAGGGGATGGGCGTCAGCCGGCAGCCGCCACCCACAGGCCAAGGGGACAGGGGCGGGAGAGGCGCAGCTTCTCCAGCCGGGCTCCCCCAGCAGCTGGCCTGGGCACTGCCAGGAGCTTCCCTCCCAAGCCTGGCACTGCCACGACCCAGTAGGCAGGGAGCGGGGTGGCCCAACAGACCCGGCTGTCATGGATGGGGCCCTGCCCCCTCCACCGGCCATCCCCAGTCTGCGCCCAGTGGGACCTGGCGTGCCTGGAGCCAGCCAGCCAGGTGGGTGTGTGCCTGCCTGAAAAGACTCCTGCCCTGCGGGCAGGTTCACAGGTGATCCCAGCGGTCTGGCTCCGTGCCCCACGCCCATTGGGATGACAAGGTGGCCCCGTTCCACCCGCATGCCTGCCTGGTGACTCCTAGCGTCGAAGGTGTTCCCCCAGGTGGTGCCCTGGGCCCAGGCCAGGTGGACACGTGGCCCCCACTTGGCGTGAGACACTGCCAATCTGTCCAGGCCTCCGGCAGAGCCCTGTGAGCCTGAGGGCTGGGCAGAGCAGGCCCTGCTCCCTGGAGTGGGCCTAACAGGCCCCCAGCTCCCAGGGACACCACTGTCCTGGTTCTCTCCGGCCATCCCTAAAACCTGGTGGCCTCCCCACTAGGGCCCCGGGCTGCTGACCCTTTGGGGGCCCTAGCCCGGCCTCCAAGGATTCTCCGGCCCCAGCCAGGCAGTATATCAGCCAGGAAACCTCTGCTGGGGACCCCACAGAGCAAAATGAGGCTCTGGTGGCGGAGAAAGGAGGCCTCCCCCCCTCCCCCCCGCTGCCGGTCAAAGACACAGCCCCCATTGTGTGGTCTGGGATGGAGCTGAGCCCCCGCCTGGCTTCTGGGCCCCAGGCAAGGGGACGGGTGTGAGGAGAGATTTGCGGGGCACCGCTGCCAGGGCCTGCCCTGAGGATTCCCTGCACAGCCCCTGTGGGAAGCGCCTTTGCCCCCATGGGGCGTGTGTTCTGTGGCTGGCAGGAGCTGATCTGGTGGCCAGCAGCAGGCAGCCCGGGCTGGGTGGGGTGGAGCTGGGGGTGAGGGGGTCCAGTTCCTTAGCCCTGGGAGACCCCTGCTCGGCCAGGCTTGGGAGTCAGTTGTTCCAAGGGCTGGACCTGGGAGCCTGGGGTCCAGTGGGGACTCGCCAGACAAGACCCTGGCCTGAAGGGGCCGACCCTGGGCAGGGACAGTGCTCAGAGGGGCCACTTGGAGAGGCCCGAGCCCAGCCTCGCATCCCTCCAAACAGAGACCCAGGTTGAGCTCCAGCTGGGCCCAGGCTTCCTGCAGGGCCTGTGAGGAGGCCCCAGGGGAAGTTTGGACCCAACCCTGGGGCCTCAGCTGGGCTCGGGCAGGCAGTTCCTGGTCTGTACTGGGCTGGCCTGGGAGGTGGGCAGGGGGGTGGGCGTGCAGTGCCCAGAGATGGCCTGGAGCAGGGGAGGACCTGCGGGGACCTGTGGGGCTGGAAAGGAGGGACCTCCTCCGACGGAGCCAGCAGCCACAGGCCCCTGGGGCCCGGGAGAAAGAAGTCCAAAAGTCTTCTGTCCCCTGCGGAACCCCGCGTACCCCTGCTGGCATGGGAGCCAAGGGCTGTGGGCAGCCTGGCGTGTGAAGTGCAGAGAGGAGCTCCTAAGGAATGTCACCCACTTCCTGCTTCTGGACTCATCCCTGTCCTACCCTGGGTCACAGCCACCTTTCAAGGGTTTG